AAATCATAGTATAATTTAGGCCAAATTTAGAAATTGTTATTTTGAGTTATTTAGGCCAAATTTATAAATTGAGTTATATGTATAACTTACATACCTTACAATGTAAATTACAGTATAATTTACTGACAATAAATTACATGTAACTTACACGAAATTTAACAACCCTAGCTGTAAGTCAATTTTTTACCGGAAATCCGATTTTCTTTTCGACTTAAATTCGGATATGTACAAATGCATAGAGAACAAAAGTATTTGACCAGCTATAGAATTTCAATAACGATAAGATAGTTTTATATTTTTTGTCATTGAGTTATGTATACATATATGTACATACAATGGTGCTATTGATCAATAAAGTAATTGTTGGAATAAGTTTGGATTTCAATTTAAAAATTCGAATTTAAATTCGAAGCCGAATGTCACTAATAAAATAAATTTGAATTCAAAACCGAAATCCGGTCACAAAATTCTATAGATAAACATATTTTTTTAAAAATAATATAACTTATAAAAATTTTACTAATTACTATTTAAAGCTATACGCCACAAAATTTTGGTAAAAACAACCCCTTTTGACAAGCGATCGCAAAGTTTTCAAAATTTTGTAAATATTGTGTTTTTGTATATTTATAAATTTCTTAAACTTGGTAAATTTGTTAAATTTTTTAAACTTCTTAAACTTGGTGAATTTGTTAAATTTTTTAAACTTCTTAAAACTTGGTGAATTTGTTAAATTTTTTAAACTTAGTGAATTTCAATAATTTGTTAAATTTAAATTTTATAAATTCATTCTATATGATATAATATGCATATAAAGAGCCACTTTTTTACCTTCAATAAAAGACAGTTTAGTAAGAACTCGGTTAGAGTTTAGCATCTATTAGGCGCTTGTCTCTAACAATCCACCTCCCGATAGTGATCCAATCTCGTGATTCCGTAATAAAATTTAGTGACGTAATCTAGAGCTCTTACCCATTGGCCCTAATTACTGGTGGACAAAGTTTATCTACGCCCATTCGAAAGCCTTCCATTATTAGGGTTAGAATAGTTTTAGTTAGTATTTGTGTTATCCATATTCCGACCCATATCTATCCTGGAGTCATTTCATTTCGCCCTCTACAGCATGCAATAAATTTAGAAAATTTAGAAAATACAAGTATGTCGATATTCATAATATTTTTTTATAGAAATTTTTTCTTTATAATTTGAATTTTATTAAAAAAAACCACTAGCGTAAAACAAATAAATTGTGAACTTTAAGGAAAAAAACAAGCGAGAAATATTATTATCTCCTACTTTAATAATAAGAGTATTTGTCTAATCTTGTAATGCTTATTTGATACGTATAAAAAGTATTTAGTCTAATCTTATAATGCTCATTTTAAATATGAAAAGAATTAAACGTGGGAAAAGTATTTAATGTATTATGTATTATATATTCTTGTTACTTTAAAGATTTCCATTGTATTAAATTTACACTCTACGTTAGAATCAAATAATTTGGGGTATGATTTTGGCTTTAATTCAATGATTTTCAATTCTTTTTGAACACGAAGATCTGGACCTTCACCAAACCAAGGTCCATATTTTAGATGATGTCTAATTGCCCTATTCTTTCCTAAAACACGAGATAGTTTAGCATTTTTAGGATTATTTTTATATGCGAATATAAAATTCGATTCGCAATAAATCCATTTGTTTTCACAGGACCAACCAAGTGGATTATATCCTCCAACAATACAGTTATCTAAAGCAAATAAGGTGATTGTTGAAAATGTTCCGTCGCATATTTTATGGAATGAATTTGCGTGGAAATCGTCACCAAAGAAACTATTATCAAATATAAGATCAAATCTAAATGATCCTTTTCCTTTATCATTATCGATCCAAGAAGAAATTTCCAAGAAATCTTCATGTTTACTGATGATTCTGGAAGTTTGATTATTTCCTAATCTAAATGGTGCTCTGTTAAGTTTTTGTGGATGATTACACATAAAAAATCCAATTATATCTTCTAACAATCCATCCGAGATTATTTTATTTTTGTACTTTTTCCAAAGATCAAAAAATTCATCTTTTTTCATTTGATGAAAACGAATTAATTTGGATAATGGCTCGAGTTTAGTTTCGTTATTTTCCACATTGCACCATTTGATTAGATACTCGCAAATTTTAGATTCGGAAATTATTAGTTCATTACATAATAAGATTTTTTGCAACATTTCTTCTTCTAGTCTTAAAAAATCTTCAGAATTGAATAAAAGGTATGGGTCATTTGCAATTTCATGCATGAATTGTTTATCTATGGCAGTAAACGTTTGATATTTCATAATAAATTCAAAAAGATCGAATAGATTTTTTTTGATAAAAACCAAAATTTTTTTAGCAGTTGTTTCTTGAATACAATTCAAGAGGGTCTCCATGTTGAATCTATCAGATGCGACTAAAACTTTTGAAAGAACGTAAAAATCTTCATGATCATAAATTTCTGCGTAATAAAGATATTTCAATATAATAATCATTGTATCATGTTCGATATCGGAAATGGTTAATATAAATTTTCCATTATTCGTTTTTGCTCACAGTTAGTTGGCTGTAAACCATACACTTCGTTTCACTACGTTCCCTGGTATACATCAAATTAAAACGTATCAACAAAAGACAAACATCAAGCAAAATCGGAAATCAACAAAAGACAAACATCAAGCAAAATCTTATGGTGGTTAATTAATAATTATTTATTATGATTTTAATTTTATCTTTTAAGCCACGTCGGACTTTATACTTACTGCGGATTAGCTTGACGGTGTAAGGGATACTTTGACGTAAAAAAATAATCCTCTTTAATTTTTTATTATTGTATCACGCAATTGTTTAATATATTTCATCTAATCATAAAAAGATCATATGATACATATGACTCACTTATTAAACTTTTTATTTATCAAGCTATATATATATTGTATAGGCCTCATTGAGTCAAAATTGACATGAAACCCAAAATTAAGATAAATGTTACAAGAGTATTTCAAAACTCAAACCAAGATATAAAATCCAATAGGAAATTATTTAAATATCTAGGATCCGGACTCAACGGTTCCCGTTTCCTAGTATATTAAAAATTTTGCCCGATCTGCATGACAAATCGTGCGACTGTTACGTACGTACGTACGTGCGTACGTACGTACAGTATCCTCCAAAAGTTTATCAGGTTACACAAAACTTAGACATATGTAGCAATATATTATTATTACGCAAATAATAATATGCAATAACTTCGGCAATACGATTTGGCTTATTATTTAATTAAGTTAACGAAAATTGATGATAAAGCATATTCTATTCCTCTAAAAGTGCTGTTTCCAACGCTCATATGTTCCTGGTTGATGTTTTCGTTACTGAACATTATCTTCAAGATATTTTACAATTTGCATATTTGCATAAATTAAGTTTTTTCGTGTAACCGTGATAAACTTTTGGAGGATACTGTATGTACGTACGTACGTTGTGACGTCCAGTGGGAGAGACATTGTTATATCGTTATTGATTTAACTCAGGGACGTCAACATTAAAGGGACGAAAGCAAGTATTTATTATCTCGTTCCAGG